TGTTGTCCCCTGGCCCAGGTCCTCGATCCTCGTGACGTTCTTGGCCGGCTTAATGGCTGGTCGCGAAGCCCATTGCCAGACTCCGCTGCACGCTCTGCCGATCAAGATCACCAAGACGCACGTGCCGAAGAAGGCCAAGACCATTAGAATGTCCCCCTCCGGTCGGGCGCCATGGTGCGATTTCGGTCATGGTGCGTGCTTGAACCCTGCACTACACGAAGAACGCCCCTTAACCCGAAAAGGACCGAGACCCACTTTTGACCCCTTCAAGCCTCCTTGAAACGCCAAGAACCCTTGGCTGCAACTCCTTACTGCCTCACTGGCCTTACTCTGCCTCACTGCCTCACTGGCCCTTTCCAAAACTCCTTACTGCCTCACTGGCCTTACTGCCTCACTGCCTCACTGACTCCTTACTAACTCCTCACTGACTCCTTCACTCCTAACTGCAACCTTCACCGACTTCTTCATTTATTTTTATTTCTCATCCTGACCTTGATCCTCACTGTTGCACCCCTTACTGAAACTCCTTGCTGACCTTGCTCTGCACCGGCAGCTGTCTTGGCACTATCGGACTCCTTAAGTGCGTCCCACAGCTTGTGCCGCGCAGCCTCCGCCCCAACTCCCCAATACCCTGGCTTGTGCCCGGGAGGGGGTAGGGCATAGAAAGATCCCTCGCGGCCTTCTGCGACCTGGATCTTGACCTTACTTAAAACCGGGGGTTTAACCCCCGGGCCTTCGGGAGAATTGATGCGGGACACATAATCCGCGCAAATGTTGATTGCCCCGCGGATGTGTCCAACCTTCACGGACTCCACCTGGATCTCCTCCAAGAGCAACGCCAGCTCCGCCGCCACCCAATTGATTGCCGGTGTGGGCGCGAGCTTGTCCGTCATGGCCAACGCCACCACGCTGTCCGAGCGTAGCATAAGGCGCACACCCGGTGCTCCGACGAACTTGTTCTTCCAGTGCTTGACCACGAGAACTGCCAAGCACTCCAGGGCCCCTTGCTAAGGCAAACCTGCGTTCCTCCTCTCGTCCGCTCGACACGTCCCTCATGTGGTTGGTGAATGTCTGTAGAGTTCCTTCTTCCACCTGGTCCACCTGGACGTGCCCTCGGGTTCCTTTGAACGTGTGCCTCCCACGCAGCCCAGATCTGCTGCCCCAAAAACCTCCTGGTGGGCAATTTCCTCACTGCCTTAGCTGGGCATCGTCGCCTGCTTGTTCCGCAGCTCCTCAATGTCCTTGGCCGGCCTGCTCTCCTTCTCCATAAGCCAGTCCTTGGTGCCCATGCGCTTGAAGTGGTTGATGGCCAGCCGCGCGTACTTCTCCGCCAGCTCCTGCGGGTACTCCGCCGAGCTCGCACTGTTCGCTGCCTTGACCGGCAGGTGCTTCCCGACTCCGCATTTGCACTGAGATTCCAGTTGCCGCAATTCCTTCAACGACCCAACAAACCTCTGCGGCTTGAAGCGCCTCTCCTGCACCGGCAAGCGGAGTTGGTAGGCGCAGGTGTGGAAGTCCGCGATTGCATTGGCCTCCTCCTTCGCGAATTCCTCAACTTCCGGGAGCTCCCAGGCTGAGAGGTGGCCCTGAACGTCCGAAGGTGGAGGGTTCTCCAGTGTGGAAAACCCACCTCTACCACTCTTCTGCTTGCCTGCTTGCCCTTCGCTTCTCTTCCCTCGCGATCAGGACCGACCTCGTAGCATGGATCGTGCCCTCGTCCGCTTCCTTCGCCTCCTTCTCCGTGTTGGTAGGCAGGCCGTACGGGTGGTCCTTGCTCCTGACGGGTCCCGGGTAACCCCGCGCTTCCCTCCATCGCAGCCTCGTGAATGTGGTGCACGGGAAGCCCGAGTGGTAGCCGTCGATCAAACCTTCTTTTGCCATCTTGAATTGCTCCTCGAACGGCTGCTCCGCCAGGAGATCTTGCCCCGCTTCACTTCCGATCGCAGCTGATGACCCTCACCTTGATCTTCTCCTTCGCTGCCTCGGCGACCATGGCCTTGCCCAAGACATCCTTCTTGCCCGCAGAGTGGTGCAGGAAAACAAAGGTCCTTTTCTGCATGAACTCCCCCAGTTCCTTATCCATGGCGATCCCCAACGGTTCCGGCAGTCCTAGTTCTGACCTCAAAGGAACTCGCCGGAGCTTCGGGTTCACTTCCGCTTCACGGTGAGGGATGGCCTGGGGACCCGCACCCGGTGCACTTGTGGGCCCTTTTCACCTTCCCCCGACAAGGCACCCCTGGTGGCAGATCCTGCACATCCCATTTCCATTGTTCCATGCAAAACACTTTTCTTCCTCCAAATCCTTCCCTTTCCTTTTTCCTTTTGCTTCTTTCGTCGGGGGTGAATCGGGAGCCGGGCGTTCCTTCGCCCTCTTGTCGGGTGTCCTCCTCCTCTTTGTCCGACTCCCGCCTTTCCCCCCTTCTCCACGGCGGCCCGGGATGTGTGCCATGCAAACTTGCTCCGAGGGCCTCCTCGTCCACCGTGCGCCAGCCATGCGATG